GGTGACTTTCCAGAATTCAAAAGAATGGAGTAAAATCTTTGATTTTCTCATCAAAACAAAAATTAAAAAAAACCTAACATTAATTGCCAATGTTTTTTATAATTTTTGAAATGAAAAGACAATTCTTATAAATTTTCTTTTTATTACAAAAAGTAAAAAAACCTAACGGCGCTTTTCTTGAGGTTTTCTGTTTTATTTGTTAAGTGTTCTAGGTTTTTTTGAGGTTTTCTATTTTATTTGGAAAATCTATTGATTTTCGTTAGGTTTTTTTGAGTTTTCTATTTATTTGTGAAGTGTTCTAGGTTTTTCTGAGATTTTTTTGAGGTTTTCTATTTTATTTGTGAAGTGTTCTAGGTTTTTTTTTACTTTAGAAATAAACCGAAAATTTATTAAAATTTTCTGTTTATTTCTAAAGTAAAAAAAACCTAACGAAAATTTATTGATTTTCCAAATAAATAGAAAACTCAAAAAAAGCTAACGGCGGTTTTCCATAATTCAAAAGAATAGAGTAGAATCTTTGATTTAACTCAATTCTTTTGAATTCTGGAAAACCTAACGGCAAATAAGAGGTAATTTTTTTGAATCAACTCACTTCATTGACAATAAAAAATAAACAATTGAATTTTTTATCGACTAATCTACCTTTTGAGATAGATTTTTGAAAGATATTTTGCAGCTTTGAAGTCTGAATATTGATAATTCAACCTTTTAATTTTGTGTGAAATTCAGATTTTTTTCTGAAATTATTGGGTTTTTTTACTAAGTTGAATATCATTTTTAATTGATATGAGATCAACTTGTAGTGCTATTTTACTAATGGATTTTTTAGAAACATTTGAACCATGTGGCGCTAATGTGATTTAAATTCAATAACAACACACTTCAATTTTTGACTTCTCCTTGGTAGACGCTAATTCCTTAAATCTAAATTCATAAAAATTAAATTTTATCTCAAAGATAAAGAAGGAAGAGATTAATTAAATTTCTAAAAATTATCCTTTTATAATTGGTTTTGTGATTCTTCTGGTATTTTTTCAACTCTCAAAAAGGAAAAATGATTTTGAGAACTTGAAATAAAGATTTTTACTTCTTCATTGGAAAACGACAGTATAAATTAACAAATTGAATTCCAATATTCTGTGAATCTCCGATTCGGATAACCCTAAAAAAAAAAAAGATTAATTATCAAGTAGGAACGTGCGATTATCGTATGCTATTTTTTAACTATGTTGACTTTGATTAAATTTCTTCAAAAATCAATTGTACAATTGGTTTTGGGTTTTTGTTTTGAGAGTTGGATTCTTTACAATTGTTTAAAATTGTTTAAACAGATAAACAAAATGTTTTTTTATTGGCACCTGTAAATGGGAATAAAAAAACATGTGTTTCCAAGTGGTGATTAATAAAATTAGAAATGATAAACCACTGTTTTGTTTTTGAAAAGGGTATTGTTTACCTGTCCTTGTTCTTTGGTCACAGCTCTTTTTGATTCTAAATCTATTTTGTTCCCAATTAAAATCTTTTTTAGATTAAGATCGGCATAGTTGGAGACTTCCTTAAGCCATTCCGATGTGTTTTCAAAAGACTTTTCATCTGTAACATCAAATAAGAGCATTGCCCCATGAACTCCTTTATAATAGTTTCTTGTAATTGTTTTGAATCTTTCCTGTCCAGCTATTGAAAAAAAAATTGGTCAAGAATTAGTTTGTTAAAGGTTTTTTAATATTTTTTTTCTTTTTAGCAATTATGAAATTTTTTTTTTTTTTTTTTTTTGTTTTTTTGTTTTTTGTTTTTTGTTTTTTGTTTTTTGTTTTTTGTTTTTTGTTTTTTGTTTTTTGTTTCTGAAGAAAAAAAGGCAAAGAAAAAGATCGTGGAAAGGCCTGTTTTTACCTGTGTCCCATATTTGAAGTTTAGAACGAATCCCATCAACCTCAATGGTTGTTACTTTCTGTTGTATTATTTTTTGTTTTTAAGAATTAGGAAGATCCTAGATTTAGAGTCATCAAAAAAAAAACAAAAATTTCAAACTAAAATAAAAAAGGTTCGATTATTTTACAAAATCTACGCCAACTGTGGACATGTAAGTTGTTGGGAATGAGTCTTCCTTTAAAGGGTTTACAATTTGATTAACGTGATTGAGAAATCATAAATGATAAAGAAAAAGAAATTATAATTTAACAAATAAATTACTGAGAATTTCATCTATTTTGGTTGTACAATTAAATTAAGCGAAAAAAAAGTAAATACCGTAAAACGAAGCATTAAACAAGATTTACCAACTCCACCGTCACCTATTAAGATGATTTTAAAAACATGTTCGCAACCATCAAAATCCATAAGATCTTTTTGTAATTTAAAAAAGTAGAAAAATGAAAAATTAGAAACTATTTTTTTTTTTTTAATTCAAGAAACAATTCAAGTTTACAAAAGAGTTTTGACGAATCAAAAATCTTTTCACAAATTCAGTAAAACAATTATAGGTACTAATAAACTTTCAAAAAACTTCTGGTAAATAAAATAGTAAATTCAAAAAAGTTTAAACACCCCGGTTAATTGAAAATTGAAGAAAAAATTCTAATACCTAACTTCCTTTTAAATTTATTTTCCAATTTGAAATATAATTTAAAAAAGTTTGATCTATTATTCCCTAATTGTTGAAAAGCCCCAAATTCTTCATATTTCTGAGTTATTTCTAAAAAATATTTTCTTCTATTGAGAAGAAGAAATTATATTAATCTGTAAAGGAAGAGTACAAATCTGTTTTAAAGATAAAACAACTAACTTTTGAAATAACATAGTTTAAAAAATATCCTTAATTTCAAAACAATTATTTAGTGATCAAAATAATATATGCAAAAAAGGCTATGATCAGCATTTCAAAAGATTATTCTTGCTTTTTTTTCTTCTTGTTCCAATGCGACATCCAATTTACTAAACAAGAGTAAACCCGAGTTCAAATTAATTTTGAAGGTAAAGTCCTTGATATTTTAAGTAAACTTTTAACTTATGAATGCAATTTGTTCCAAATTTTCCCTAATTTTCTCATTTTTTTGAAATTTTTTTGTTTTATATTGTTGCTAAATTTTCTTGATGAAAATTTAACTAAATTTTTTGAGATAAATTTTTGGAATTTGATCCTTCATTTTTAGGAATTTCTTTTTAAATAGAAATTTAAGAAACCAAGACCATACTAACAAGGGATTATTTCGGTTTCTTTGATCGGTTGATGTATAGTTCTTCTCTAACAAAAAACAAACTTTTGATTTTGGAACGCCAGTTAAACAATTCTTTACCTTTGTTATTTTTAACAGAACTGAAAAAAACATTCCAAAAAAGATTCTATTTTTTTTGTTTTCAACAATTATGAAATTATTCCAAAATTAAAATCACACAATCCTTTTTCTGCTATATATATTTTTTTTTATCTCAAACATTTTATTTGGAAAAATTTAACTAGATAATTTCAAACAACTACTGATAAGAAAGTGATTGTATCACAAAAAAGTTTAGGATAGTATTGAAGTCACTGTGGAAAGATTTTCGGAAATCCATTTAGTAAATAGGCAAAGTTTATAAATTTTCTTATCTTCTTATTTTGAATTCTATTTGGGTAAAACAAGAAGTATTTTACTATTAAATTCCACTTTAAAAATGTTATTTAAAGTTATTTTAGAACAGTTTAACCAATTTATTTTGCCAATTTTTAATCACATAAATATATAAGGTTTTGCCGCCCTCAAGGATTTACGACATTGGAAAATTAAATTGGTTCAAGTCACTCAATTATCTGATCAATAGACGACATTGAAAAAAGTCCATCAACTTTCCCGTACTGTTTGGAAATCGAACGAATTCCCTTTCTTTGTTTAAAAACAATGTCTAAAATCAGACAACGTTTTTGTTTTTCTTCCAAGAAATCAATCTCATTTTAAAAAAAATTAAAAACGTTTGGTCTCTTTTTTCTTCGAAAAAAGGAGAGAAAAAACCATTTAATAAAAGATTTTCAAGGTGAAAAAAACATTTACCAATTTTTGAAATGAGAAAAAAAAAAAAACATTTTTTTTTTAAAATGTCAAGTCAAGAAATTTTTGGAGAGCAATAGTTCAAAATCAGTCACTGTTAAGAACACACAATATATGAGGAGTTTCATGTATTGATCGCTTTAGGAAGTTTCTTAATAAACGGACAATAAAAGCGGAGATAGAAACTCATTGAAAAGTTGAACGATCTGTTTTGTTTCTGTATGAATTTAAACCAAGTTTTATCACCAATGGATGAAAATGTAAAATTTAACTTCAGTGTTTACCGTAACTTCATTGGGAGAAAAAGATCCTTTGAAGAGTAAGTTCTTCAAAGTACCAGTGCAAAATAACAAATTGGTTAAAAATGTGTTTCTTTGTTTTTTATTGTGTAGAGTTAGATCCCGAGTTAAAAAATAAATAGCACCTCATATTGCTTCATTTGTTCAAAAATCACCTTTTATGTTTCTTCGTTTTGGTTCTCTTCCAGACTCAAAATATGATATTGTTCTAGTGCTAAGATTATATTAATCGTCGTTCTTCGAACTCCTCAACCTAATCTTATATTACTTTGAACAATATCATATTTCTCGTTCTTCCAGGCCAAACTCGCAACATAACAAGGTGATTGTTTCCAAATCAAATCAATAAAGAACGTTATTAGTTTTTATTTTGTTAGAAAAGCATAACAAGGTTAGGGTAATCGTTTTTATAATTTTTGGGTGTGTATGCAATTCCTTGAATATGATTTGAATTGATTACACTTTCAAGATCAGTAAATTAAAAGCAAGTTAATTTAAGTCATGGGAAATATCAACTTAATTGGAAGGAAATGGGAAAAGAAAAAAACTAAAAAAAAAAGAAAAAAAAACAGAAAGTTTTCATTCAATATTTGCTTCTTTGTTCGTTTCACAAATAAAATACAAGAATCAAAAAAAGCTTATTTGTAATCAAGAGGATTAAAAAAAATGTGTAAAAAAACGACGAAGGCAGGATTCGAACCTACGCTCCACAAGGGAAACTGATTAGCAGTCAACCGCCTTAACCACTCGGCCACTTCGTCTTTTGTTACATTTAAAATAGTCTAATAAAAATTTTTAAAAAATTAAAATTTATTCTCAATTTTTTCATTTTTAAATAATCTACTTTTTACACATTATTATTTCACACAAACAAACTCATCAAATAGAACAATAAACACACAAAGCTTCCGTTAATAATGAACTCTTTACATATATATTTCAATATACTTCAACCACATTATTTTACTTGAAAATAAATCATTACCATTAACTCATCTGAAAAAATAAAATTGAAAAAAAATAAGGTAAACAAAACTATTACTTTTGTTAATCATTTCACCCTTGGTAATTGAGCTTATTCACAATATGTCAACATTTCAAATTTTAAAAATCTTGAGGCTATTGTATTTATTGTTGTTATACTTAGTACTACGATTTTTAAAAGTCTTTAGTCAAAGAAAAAAAGGTCTATTTTACATAAAAAAATTTTAAATCTATAACAAATTAATTTTCTTTAAACTCAACTTTAGGATATTTACATGAAGAGATAATAACTAATAGTTTTGAAAACACTCTACTCATTTAAAAAAACTCAAACATAGAAAAAAAATAACTGTAGATAAATATTGAAAGTGTTCTGGGTTTTTTTTACTTTTTGAAATATAGTAGGGAAAAAAATACCGGACATGAAAAAAATCCCTGACAAGATTTTTAATTGTGAGTATTAGTAAAATTTTTGTCTAATTTCAATTATATCCTTATTATAAATAACCAATTTTTTTATGAGATTAGTAATAAACCTACCTAAAGTCCATCAAAGTAAGGTGTCTAAAGAATACTCGAGTAATTGTTTGATAGCCTAATGTTGATCAACTTTTTTTGAAAAACAATCGAGTTTTATCGAGGTTTACTAGAGTTTGGAAAATGATAATTTTTCTTCTTGCTTTTTGATTGATTGAATGGTGTTTTGAACAAGTGTGATTTCATCAATCATCTTTCTAATAAGTGGGGGAGTTATAATTGAAAAATTTCGATTCTTAATAAATATAATTTGATTGTCAATAAATGAAATTACACAATAATTTTACTAATATTCACAATTAAAAATCTTGTCAGGGATTTTTTTCATGTTCGGTATTTTTTTCACTGCTCTAAACTGAAAATTTCAAAAATTTTCTTTTTATTTCAAAAATTAAAAAAACCGAACGGAAAATCAAAGAAAAAATATTGTTTACAATTTAAAACATTAAATTAACATTTAATAGTCCAAATGATTGGTTCCATATTTGAAATATATTTATTAGATCAAAAAATACTTTTAAAGATATTTTACAATTTAAATTGGAAAATCCAATTTTCCAGTAATATTTTTTTTCAATTTAATAGTAACTAATTTGAAAACTTTTTTCTTCACAGATAAGAGGTCATTTTAGAATACTTTAAAAATATTTTTTGATCAAAGATCCTTTACTAACCAATATTTTATATTCTAATTGAAGTTAGTAAAAAGGGTAAAATGAGCAAATGATTAATTTTTTTTTGAAAAAATTTTTTCAGGATCGTGTTGTGGAAAAAAAGTTAAACAGGAAAAAAAGTGAAACACGTTTTTTAATTGATAATATAAATAGAACCTGAAAATTCAAAGTAACGATCAATTAAAAAAAGAATAAATAAATAAAGACAAAATGAAGTATTCAACACAATACCATTTTTTTGATTACTACCTTTTGAGTTTTTGTTTCTTTTTGATTGATCAATTATTAAAAATTCGCTCAAAAACATTAACTATTTTTATGATCTTCAAAAATACACCAACAATTTCGATAAATCAAGTAGATTTAAAGTGTATTTGCTGGTTGATTGAAAATAATATATGGGTTATTATTTGAAGTTAATTGGTTTCTTATTTTAATTGATTTTATTTTTTGTTTTCAGGTTCTATTAATGTTCCCAATGAAAAATCTTGTTTCACTTTTTTTCCAAAACGATTAAAAAAATATTCTCAAGATATAAAAAAATTTTCTTTTGTAATTTATAAATCAAATGAAATGATTGAGTTAGTCACCTAAACAATTAATTAATTTGAATTTATTTAGAAAAATCAAAACACTCTTATTCTACTATAAACCAAAAAACGGTATAATATTATTTTTTTTTACTATTAAGTTTACTGGACAAAATGGGCGAACATTTATTTATAGTTCTAGATCTAAAATAATTAATTTTAGAAAAAAATTATTTATTTGGTATTATTTTTGATGATTAATATTTCAATCCAAATCTCAACGAATAAAAGTAATTGTGGTCTGGGTGATTAAATAAATGGGTATTTAATACAAACTTGACAAATTTTTCACAATTAAATTGAGATATTACTCATTAAAATTTTTATATTCTTTTTAGTTTTGTAAAAATTCATTTTCTGGTTTTCAAAAAATAAAAAAAAATATCAAAAAAATTTTGAAAAAAGTTTTTTTCTGATTCTCAAAAAAAGGAAAAAAAATTGAAAAAAAAACATTCATTGAGAAAAATTTTGTTAACAAATTGTTTGGACTTATAATAATTTTTATAATAATTTAAATCATTTTTTTGATTAAAAAAAATAATTTTGTATTTTGTGGATAACATTTCAAAATTCTCAAATACCTTGAAGAAAATTTTACTGCTATTTTCCAATATATAAAATAAAATTTTTATTTCAAGTTCTCAAAATTTTTAAGAATTATGTGATGTAAAAAAACAAGAACAGCTTCACAAGCCCAGTTTAAAAATTATAATTTTAGGAATTTTCTTAAGCTTTCGTAATATTAACTCTTTTTCAGTCAAAATTTCCAAGTTTTATTGAAGAAATAGAACAGATATTCTATTACTTATTCATTATTCTTCTCAAAATAAATTTTCAATTGTTAGATCAAAATCATTTTGCTTCATTTTTTATTTAGTTATTTTTTTTTTGTTTTTTCTCATTTCGTAAAATTTTTTATTTTTGTTTTTTGCTTTTATATTTTTTTTAAAAAAAAAAATTAAATGATAAAAATAAAATCCTTTGAAAACTACAAATTAACATTAAGAAAATTGAGGCTTAGACATTCTTTTAAAATCCATAGATTATAAATTAAATAATCTTATTGTCGACAGTTTTAATTTTCTCAAGAAATTGAGAAAGTTTGCACGAGAAGTCCCAATTAATGTACACCAATAATTTTATTAACATTTTTTTTTTTTTTTTTTTTGAAATATTAGGTTTGTTCATGTATTTCTTTGATGAATCTCAACTCTAATCCGAAGTTTATTATTTCTCTTATTTATAACTCATCTTCATTTGACTAATTCTCAAAAAAAAAAAAAAAATGAATTTTTGATTATTGGCCGGACATCTTTTAGTGAAATGGAGTTTAAGCTATTTCTGAGAAATATGGGCAAATTTATTTTAAAATATATCTTCTTGTACAAAATCTTCAAAAATGGATTTAAATATCCTTGGGCATTAACTACGATTTATTGGTCTTGATTATGATTTTTTTCTTTTTTAGTATTTTATATATAAATAAAAGATATCCCATTTTATAATCTTGATATTATATGATATTTTTAAGGGTTTAAAATTGGTGTTTATTATTTTTTTTTGATCAAAAAATTTTTTTCATAACTAGCTTAGTCTCAACAAATTTTACAAATAGAATTGAAATAGAAGTATTATATTTTTTACAAAATAATTTGTACCCTTTCCAGATTTATAGTTCTTAATTGAAATTGGTCTTAAATTGTTTTCTCCATAAAAAAAGCTATTTTTTTTTTCATTTTTTTTAATATTTTAACATACATATTTTGAAATTGATACCTTAGTTTTTTATTCAATTGGTATTAATATTTTACTCATTTCGTATTATAAATAAAACGAAAGCCTCCGTTAACAGAAAGGATTTTTTATGAAATGTTAAAAAAAAATTCCACACTTTTTTTTTAAATACCTTATTTTGAGATAAAATTTTAAAGTGTTCAATATGATGTTAACAATATTTGGTAAAATCTAATTTCATCTTATAACAAAAGCACAATTCCTTGAAAAAAAATTTTAAATGGTTTTTGAATGTTAATTTATAAAACTAACCTAACCAAAACAATAAAAATATTTTTCTCATTAGTCGAATTAAAAATCAATTTTCTGGTTAAATCAAAAGAATTATCCCCAAAAATAAAAATTTAAAAAACAATTAATAGACATTACAATAAATACCATTTATTGTCTTAGAATGACCTAAATAGTAATAAACAGGGTAAAAATCTTATTTTGTACCCAGTTATAAAATCAATTTCATTTTTTTTATTAATCAGAAAAATTGAAAAAAACATTGAAACAACTTTCTTTTCTAGGTTTGCCTGCCGATCAGAATTTTTTGACACTTCTCATCTAAAAATTTATAATTACAAATATCAATAATACAGTCAGTTTCACTTTTAAGGCACAAACTTTCAACAAAATTTAAGGCACAATAAAAATCTCAAATTAAGGCACAAAATTCAAATTCTAGTAAAAATAAATTGTAAAAAAAAAAAATTCCAAATTTTGTGCCTTAATTTGAGATTTTTTTGTGCCTTAAATTCAGTTGAAAGTTTGTACCTTAAAAGTGAAACTGACTGTAACATATTTTGAAAGATTACCATTTGGTAAAGAAAGATTTAATCCTTTAAAGATTATTTTTTTTTGGAATGGTTTCCTTCAAATTTAATAATTTTTTTTTAAGAAAGTTACTCCAAAAACTTATTATTATTCAGTTCATTAACATTCTATCACCTCTTTTTTAATTCTAGAGGAAAATTATATAGAAATGAAATGTAAAATTTTGGTGAAAAATTGTAAACATTTGTTTTTGAGAATGTTTTTTTTTTATGAAGATCTTATAAAAGATGGTTCTTAACTATTGTTTCAAGTTGTACTTTCAATTTTTAACCTATTTAAATTAGTAAAAGAGTACAAAAAAAATTATAGATTTTGTTCACTAATAATTATGTCAATTGAATTTATATTATTTAGCTTTGT